AGAGAAAGACAGAAATATTCTCTATTAAGACAACTGCACCAACTTCACAGACCTGCTTGAAGGATGTGGATTTAAAGAAATTTTTAAATTAATGAAAAAGTACGTAATGTGTCGTTAAATCAAAAATCTAGAAGTCCGCTGTACAACAATGGCTGAAAACAAAAAAGGCTGTGGGAATGGGATGTTGTGAGCATCCGACTCAGAGTTCAATAATTGATAACAATGTTTGGATGATTGCAACTCTTGTATTCATCTGTCAATTCAAAGCAAAATAAACGTAAAAGTTCAATGGCAGTAACTAGTAAAAGCGATCAAAAGTGTTTTGTTATTTCTCCATCTAACGAGCAAATGCTTCACCTAACCTTTCTGTTCGAGTTATGATTTCCCCCCTTTTCCATAACGGACAACTATGTGCCAAAGCGCTGACAACACCTACTGACATTGTATTGATTTTTATGGTCAAGTGTACGTTGCCGCTGTAAAAACGCCCAAATGCATTTCTTCAGTTCTATGGATTTCCCTGTTAACTTTACTTTTAACTTGCAAACCCAAAAATTCAGGAAGATTCAAATGACAAGCCCTCTATCGACTATCGGTGTTGGAATTCTGGGAACGCATGTTCTTTGGGAAGACATTGAAACTGAAATTCAGAAAACTCTCGGAGTCACAGCTAAGTTCGGAGAAAATAAGACAGTGAAGAACATTGGTGATGGAATCGTACGTTTTCTACTTTTTTGTCTTTTGGGTTATCTAAACTTATCAAGGGCTTTCTTTCACGCATCTGTTTGATTCATCCTGATTGGCAAAATAATTCATCTGAACTTCCTCAAACGTTTGTAGTTAAGGTTCATTTGAGTTTCACTCGTTGCATGTTTCATTTTGGTCATTGACAGATTATCAGTCAACTGCCAATGATAGAAGTTGACGGTGTTAGTGCTGTTACTCTATTCTTAGAACAGAAGAGCCCATTGGTGAGAAAGTCTTTCGGATTCTTTCAAGCTCTTTTTCAGTTGCTGAGGGTTGAAATCGATACATATAATCTATTCAATAAGTATGGAGATAATAGTTTTGCTATAGGAAAGGTTAAAACGGTGTCTCCACGTCTGAAAGATTTTGTGCTTTTAGATGTTGGGTCATCGATATTTGGATGAAACGAACCAGGCAAAAGGATTTTTCATAATGGAATATATGGGAAACAATAAACCAATCGGACTTTTTGACAACATATCCATCGAAAATTGTCGAGAAGTTGCTTTCATCATCATATTCATATGCGCCCTGTTCTAAGGTTATCAAAGTTATTGCAAAGTGGCAGTCCGTTAGCTTGAAACAGTCTGCCGAATTTGAAAAGTATGAGACTCATTTCCTGTCAAAAACATATGGCCTCGATGTTGCCTTCAAAGTGAGAAGAAGCTTCTTGTATTCAGCTGATAGTTTTTTCAGTGGTGTATACAGACAGTTGATGGGATTCGTGACATCGATCATCCCAAAATTAAAAGTATGTTGCAAAAACTAGATGAAGTTGTTCATCACTTATGTACTGAGGAGAACATTCGAAAATTCGATGAATTACCTGATAAACTCAGTAAGCTCAAACTGAATTAACGATGAAATTGCAATAATCCAGAAATCAAGCGAGTGTTTGGCCATTTCGACCTTTGGAGTTCTAATGTGCTATGGGACCGCAAAGAGAACGGAGAGCTGTCTTTGAAAGCCATAATTGATTATCAGGTGACTTGTATAAATAATGAAAACTTATACATATTTTATAGTTAGGAAGTCTAACTAATCCAATAATTGATTTCCTGATGTTTTTGGTATGCAATATCAATGCTGATGTGAGACGTTCTCATACAAAACAGTTTCTCCAAGACTTCCATGGCTATCTCAGTGCCGAAATGGATGGACAAAGCCCTTTCACTATTGAACAAGTATTATTCTTATTGTTATTTCCTTATTCTAACCTTTCTCATGTGTTCAGCTGGAAGACTTATACCAGCGCCTATTCCCTATTGGAGTTCTGTTGATATATGGAATGGTTGGTCCAACCTATCTTTCCTTGGTTGAAAAACACCCGTCTGATTCAAACAGAGTAATATTCTATCAATGGACTTCATTTAATAGTCAAAGTTTCAGCTTCTAGAAGTCTTGGAGAAGAAATTCATACCAACACTTCAGGAAGTTATTGACGTTCATGAACAGAACAAGGAACCCTTTAACTAACGGATGAAATTACTAGTCTGCATTTGTATATTTGATGTTTTATTAGGTAGTTTTGCTAATTCAATTTCTCCCATACTACGTGACAAGCTTCTGGGAAGATCTTTCGTTCTTGCTTCTCAATAACTTCAACAGAAGAGCTGCTCTTCAGATGCTACGTACTAAACACCATGTGTTGAGCATGAATACTAAATGAGTCTATTACGCATACACTGTTTTTTCATCATTGAAATGAATAAATTAGTATAAAGTGTGTTTCAATGCATTTCCAATTAAGGAATAGCTCACGTCCCCAGCAACAGAAATTGACATTTACGAGATGTTTGATCAGCCCAAGAGAAGATTTGTTCATCTTATTATTCTTATCACATAATAGGTATATTCGCCGAATATGATAACCAAATCATGAGTTCATCTCTATTCTTCATGATGTACAGACGAGCTTTTCGAATGTAACAACTGGTCCTTTCACTTCACCGAGCTATCTCAAGAAAAGGAACAAAAGCGTTCCGCTAGAATCGTTTGCTTCATATTGATATGGAGGCAAAAAGAGTGTCAGAGTATCGTGAAAGCTGGGCAGATCTAAGAAGTAGTCTTATTAACAATAGAAGGATGTATAACCTATTTTACAAACAGATCGAGAATGACATTCTTATATATGAGAGCTGGCTCAGTTGTTTGTTGGTTTTTGGATTTCTCATTCTCGATTGCACGGAGTGCGATATCTATGATTCATTACATTTCATTACTCAAAACTCGACAACCTTATCAGTTGCTCATAATATATTCATTCTCTTTCTACCCAAAAAAGGGTTTGATACAATACCCTCAGATGATTCTATATTTACTGGTAGGCTCGTTCCATATCATATCAGAGTTACTGTATGACAGTGAAATAACAGACAGTATCAACATGAGAATGACGTGCGTATGTGTTGCCCGAAACAGAAGCTCGAAATTAAAAAGTTAATCATTTTATTTTAATTATGAAAAAAAAAGAAAAATGTACAGAGTTCTATGTTATAAATGCTTAGTGTTGTCTGTGATGGCGCCTGAAGTTAAAACGGTGGCGGTCACGGGGATGGATAGGACGGATTGGATGGTGGAAGAACTGTGGACGGCCCTCAGTACCGTGCTCGTGCTTAATCTTTGGTGATTCTGAGCTAACTTCTACAGATTCTACTGGTGTTTCAGAGCTAGCAACGACTTGTTCGGGTGCTTCGGTTCTGAAAAGGTGAAGTAAGCATAGAACAATAAACAATCTCACGTTTCTTCAGAATGGACGAGATCGTCGCTGATTATCT